CCCCCCCCCCCCCCCTTGTCTATCTTCCCGCTGTCTCTGTCCCCTGCCTCTCTCTCGCCCTCTGTCCGTCTCTCCGTTGCCCCATCCTCCGCCCTTGTGTCCTTGTGTCCTTGTCACGCACGCAATCCGTCCCTGCACCCCCTACCAGGACCACAACGATCTGTGCGAGGTCTGCTCGCACGGGGGCGACCTGCTGTGCTGCGACACGTGCTCGTTGGTGTTCCACACCAAGTGCCACCGTCCGGAGCTCAAGGAGGTACCTGCGGGAGACTGGAACTGCCAGTTCTGCGTGGCGGACAGCAGTCACGTCCCACCTGGTACGCCGTTTTCGGATGATCACTGACCGGCGCAGGACCGTTGTTGCTGTTATTGTTGCGGATCAGCGGGGGAGCTCATGATCGCCCGCACGACCTTACCATATCTCTTTTTTTCTCGGGAGTCTTGTGTCCAGGAGAGTGACACCTACGTTCCCCTGACGTGTGTGTGGGCCGTCTTGTCTGTAGGTCCGTTGGTGCAGCCATTTTGAGCTGTGTTGTTAAGCGTAGCAGGGGGCCGGGGCGCGCGCCTAGGTGAACACCCAACATCGCGTGAAGTTTGTGAGGAGGGGTCGTCGGGAGACGGGGGCGGTGCCTCCTGTTCTTGCATATTGCTATGCCTGCGTGGGTGACTGCACCCCGGTACGCTGTTAGGAGCGAGATAACGTTCATGCCACGAGTGCAATTTGCGTTGCCGTAGACCTGAATAAGAAGTGAAGGGTGGTGACGCGCAGGCTTAGCGAAATGTTCCAACACAGCACACACAAAGAGACTGGGCAGAATGTCCTGAAATATGTGTCACCTCTGATCCACTTGTCACTGACGACGTACTTGTGTCTGCTTGGGTGTCTTTCGTTTCTGTGCTGTGGGTGATTTCGGCGACGGCGGCTGTTGTGGGTCGGGTGCATGTGTGCAGAGGACCGCGCAGAAGCCCAGCGGAACGTGGCGGCTATGCGAAGGGTTCAAAACATGTACATGCCGGAGACGAGGGGCGACACGCTTGTCGACGAGAAGCAGAAGGTAAGGTTCCGCTCGAAGCGATGCGAGGCGGTGCGGTTCGATACCGTCCGATTTCCGCTCTGTTCGCTTGGATAGTTGTGAAAAACACTTCTTGTACAGTCCGTTGTACTGCACTGCTGTGCGGTTTCTTCCGTGCAAGACCGTTTTTGTTGGCGCTCTTGTGCCATCTTGCCGCATGCAGCGTGGTACTTGGTTCATGCCTCCTATTGAGCGCTAGGCCGGGAAGAGCACCTTGACACTCTAGTACTGTATTGCTTCCCTATCTGGAGAGCTGTCTGCCTCTTTTGTTGTTGCCAATTCTCTTCAGAAATAACCCCCCCTGGCGGCACTTTGGAAAGCTAGGCGCTTGTGGTGGCGTGAGATGGCCGGGTTTGCGGTGCACCTGTTGTGTCAACCCTTCATCCCTCAGCACTTTTTGGCAACAGGAGAGTTTATTTGATGTGCCCCTCCCGCTGCAGATGACACAAGTTTTGCGCTCTTTCTTTTGCGATCCGATGCAACCCCCCCCCCCCCCCCCCCCCCCCCCCCCCCCCCCCCCCCCCCCCCCCCCCCCCCCCCC